CCGCATATGATAGCAATTCATTGGACGAGTCTCTGAGATATGAGTTTGAAAACGGAAAGCATATCATCACTAAGGAATCGGTCGAAGGTTTGCCTTGTTTTGAGTTTTGTGTATCATTTGCACTAATAATGTATTTTTGGTGTGAGATTAGGGGCCAAAGAATTTGCTGAGAAAGGCGTCGGTAGGCACGGGAAGTTTGTTTTGCATAAAGTCGACTATACCGTTGAGGTCACCGTCTAGTGGTTTAGATCTGATATTACGGTCAAAGTCTGTTATACACCGCTCATCAATGGATTTAATTTGTGTAATATTAAAGCAATTTCACTGTATTCACTGGTTTCCATACAGACGTGTTTACGAGTTATATGATTATTATTTTTATACTATATATTCAAAATAAATTTGTGGCTAATTGTGCCAAAATATTTTTATTTAATTCTGCTTTTTCTCAAAACTTAAACAAATTTAAACAATTTTTTAAACAGACATTTCAAGAATAGCTTAAAGCAATGAAACAACTGATTAAATCTGTTTTTAATGAGAACTGGAGTCCAGACATAGTTTTAATAAACATTATATGATTTGAACGATATTACCGTAGTTTACGGTTAATTTGTAAAATGTTTATAAAATGTCATAATAGTTTATATTAAATGAGTTAATTAGTGGACAATTTTAAACAATCCCACATTTTGATTTGCATTTCAAATGAATTATACTTTATCAATTTATGAATATATCATAAATTTGTTTGATTTGTTTAATTTATTGAAATACTGTATAATAATGTGATTATTTTATGCAATTATAGCAACACTTTTAATGACAATCAAAAAATAAGGATTTGATTCAATAGATTCAATGAATAACTACATCTTGTTTAATGTCATAGACTTGGACTTTGCTTTAAAATCAATTAAAATATAAGTTATTTATTTTAAAATGTTTTGACAATAGATGCGATCAATAGATTTGATATTTGTTTCGCAAGTTTTGTTTTTCACAAATAATTATTGTTTATTTGAAAATATTTTTACATTCTCAAGAACATTATTTTGAAATGATTATTAATCTATAATTAGTTTTGCTATTTACTACAATTGTAAGGTTAATTTATGCAGTATAGGTAAATAAATGATAATAAAAATGGTAATGTTTTAAATTGTGATTTAAGAAAGCATAAGACTTATATATGAACTCATAATGATCTTATAAAATTACTAATTGACTCATTATTGAATTGCAAAGACATAAAAATATTTTTCAATATTTACTGAGTACTCATCAACTTATGTAAACTCCAGAAAATGATCAAATCTCAGCTAAAGTGTTAGGATATGAAGTAATCGTTTCATAAGTAATTTATCAAAAGTGTAAAAGTGTTGGATTATATTAATCAGTGAATTCCAGCCAAGAAAATAAAGGTTTCTATAATGGACTCTCAATTAAACCAGTTATTTGTATCCAGAATATATATTATAGGACATCAAATTGATAACATGTTGTTTAAATATGTATCAATCAAAATACATTAAAAGCTTAATTAGTGCCAAAATTATGTTTGAAAACATTATAGAATTAGATTTGATCAACAAATTTATTAATTTATTTCTTATCTGATTATATGACAAAATAACTCTTATACTGATTTATTACTTGTTTATACTGGATTTTATTTAAGGGTTTATTGATATAAATAAGTTTTTAAAAATATGGATTTGTTTAAATTTATATATTTTTAAATAAACAGTAATTATTTTTTAAAATTTGAAGGTATATTTATGATTACTGATAATTAGTTGATTATAAATGTCAATAATTTGTTAGACAATTAGTTCATTGGAAACACAGAGATATAATTTTCATAAACTTTATTTTTATCAAAACTAATTGGTGTTTAATTACTACTCATGTGATTGAGCCAATAGTGATTAAAAATATTTTGTATTCAATGAATTATATTAAAAACTTGCTACCTTATATAAAATATGAGTTTTTAAATTGACCTCATTTTAATTTAATAGATTATAATTCTACATAAAAATCTCCCTACTATTTAACACTAAAATGCGATCCATAAAATCTAAACCAATTTCAAATATAAAGTTATATGATTTGCAAAATTTAAAATTATATTTAAGATAATAGACATTTTAATTAGAATTTGCATTTATTGTAAATATAAACAGGATGTTTTATGCAATTCTGTAATTCACGTCAGTTGATTCTATATTTTAATTAAATGTACCTTTTAGTACAATTTAAAGTACATTAATTATTAATTATTATGTTACTAAGAAATCAGTATATAATTTCTATACACCCAAATTGTACTGTGTTTTTAAATCTGTAAAAAAGCTAATGATTTAGCTTTAACTGTACTGTAATCAATGATTACTAATCATTCAATTGCTTTACACTTACAAATAATCAAAAATAATTGCTATAAACAATTTCATCAAACAATTACCTTAAATAATAGGTTTAAATTCTATATTAACCAATTCAAAGTAGAATCACATTTATAAAGAATTTTATTTTTTTTGTTCAATTATTGTCAATAATTTAGTGATAAATAAATCATCTTATTTTTAACTGATTTTATGTAATTTACAAATCACAGGGAATTTTGTACTTTACCTCCCGGTAGAGATCAACTCAACACTTGATAAAAACATATTTACACGATTGAAGGTTCAAAATACAAAATTCCCAGTCTATTTGATTACATTTAATCTGAATTTACACTAAAATTAGATCTTTTTAGCAAAAAAGTGATATATAAATCGGTCAAACAGTCTATTAACATGTATTCATTGAATTGTATAGAAAATAACCTTTAATTCTTTAAGTTAATGATATAATAACGAATAAAATATTCTTTTAATGCATAATCGATTGGCCCTGCTTATACCTTAATATAATAAATGGCACATTTAGTTGAACTCTGTTACTGAATTATATTTCCATTTAAATTATTGTTTATTGAAAAACACTGTCAATTCATGTGACTATTATGACGACAAATTATTGTATTCATATTAAATGAACAATAAGAGTATCCAATTGAATAAAAATATTTTTTATTATTCACTAAATATCATTAATAATGCATTCATTGTATATGTATTGAATCACAATAAAATGAATGAAAAACAAAATATATGGAAATTTCTCGTTGCAAAACAATGCATCATATTTCTATTATTGCCAAATATTGTACAATGTACAGTACATTTACAAATATTTAGACAAATAGTGTTTTCGTTAAATATTGTTTGCGTTTGTTTAGTAATGCAATGACTTACAAATATAAATAAAATTCATCTGAAAGCACAAGAAATATAAACTAAATCTTAGATATAATTTCTATAATTTACAGAATTTATTTCTAATTCTATGCTTTTGAGAAGTGTTGTAAAATGTGCCAAATGTCTGTTGTTTATTTCCCAGCCAATAGTTTGTTTAACATTTAGAAATTAAATATAAACTTTTTAAGAGAGTATTATGAACTCTATTTTTATACCTTGCGGTAGTTATTCATATCACTAAAAATAACTCATTTTACGAAAAACTTTCCAAAATATTTGAAAGTCTCGCTGCGGTTTGCAATAAAACAATTTTGCACTGCATGTCATACCAACAGACAGAGTGTGGAAAATTTTACCCAAAAACTCATGAACTCAACAAAATAAAACACTTTCACTTTTTCTAAAAAAATTCTTATCTAAATTATATTTCACAAAATAATTACTCATTGAATATTTATGACATTATCATCATCTGAACCAATAATTATCAGTCAGTCCTTGAATACATTAACAGAAATTCTGCCTTTCATCAAATTGTGAGACAAATACAGAGTCTAAACTCTTACAGAATCCCAGAGATAATTATCGATAATTTACAAAAAATAAAGTACAAACTAACTCCTATAAAGAGGTCGAAGGGAAAAAATAAACAATAACTAATTGCCCAACTCTTGAGAGTATGAGGATCAGCCTATTCTCACATGTTATAACAAAGTACCTAATAATTTGGTTCACGTGAACACCGGGTACCAAAAACGTGATTCTGTTGCCAAATGTGGTGTTCCTATGCTATGCTGTATATATCATGAAAACTTATGTGCAATTCTTTGTTTGCAAATGTTTTTAAACCCCATTTGGTGTTAGAATTTGGAGCGACTCTTTGGTACCTTAATATCTCCCGCACTATAATTGCACCACAAAGTGCTTACATGTCTATATGAGAGTACGGTACCATTGGTGTTATAAATATGATAGTAATTAATAAATATGATAACCCATGATAAGAGACACTCGACCAGCAAGTGCTCCAGAATTATGATAAATACATATTCTTGAGATGTTTGTGTCAAATGGTTGACACAATCAATGTATTGAATTACTAAATGCCAAAAACAAAATTTAATAAATATTTAACAAATGATATCAATTGCATAACAATATCTAGAATTTTACAGAATTGCCAGAATATCCTAAAAATGAACCAAACTTAAAAAATAAAAATATTATGAAGAATGGAAAATGTTTGTAAGCAATGAAAAATTTTTTTTTTGAATACATTTGCTGTACATTCACTGGGATCGTGTTCAATAATTTGTATGTATGATATGTGTTATATAATACTGAGACCGGTATTTGGATGCTTTTTCTGGTTTCGAGTTTATGCTATGAGTTGTTTTGAACGATTGTATACTTTTTGACATTTGCTGTCAAGAGTTGGCACAAAGTGGGGGAATGTGATGAAGGCCTTGAGAATTGCGTAAAGAAGTAGATGTTATCCAATGATTATCCAATCGTAGCGTTTGGGGAATCCGTTTCCAACCATACGCTTCTCCTTGAGATCAGTCGCTGAAGACGTGCTGATCACACGAGATGTGAAAAACAAATTCATAAAAACATAACAGTCTATTATAAACCTTTGGATCTGTAATCAGATGAATGTTACGTCACTTACATGTGATAAACAGGAGAGTCCCCGCTATATAAGCCCAGCACTGGCCTCACAAACAGATAACTTCTTCCACAACTCAATCGCTAAAGTTTTTTAAGCCTTACAAAAGTCTTGCAAATAATTACTATTTTGTCTCAATTAGTATAATAAGTAAAAGTTATAATGGATTTACTTCACGAGAATAGTATATCTGCTATTTCTATGATTCAGAGCAGGTATTCATTCATTCATTGAATTCATATTCATTGAATTGAACTAAACTTGATTTCCATTTACTAATCAAATATTTGTCTATTTCTTTGCCAAACAGTTTCCATCAGCAGAAGAGTGTCATGTTTTTGTTGTCCAACCTCTTCGACCCGCGCTATGCCTTCCTGTTCTACAGTCCGCTTATATTCTCATTGAACCGATTCGCGGGCCGTAAGCTAATGTGGGTGACAGTGATGGCCGAGTGGTCCAATCAGGTGCTCAAGTGGATCATGAGGGGCGAGAGGCCCTACTGGTGGATACACGAGACCGACGTCTATAACAAAACCGGCGAAACCAGACTCCCGGCGATACAGCAGTACTTTATGACCTGCGAGACGGGCCCGGGATCTCCGTCGGGACACGCGATGGTGACGGCAGCCGTTTGGTATATCCTCATCGAGGCCTTCCTGCGCCAAAGCGGAACTCTCACCAAACGGTCGATCCTTAACCGCATTTGTTGGGCCAGTTATACCATAGTTTTGTGTTGCGTGAGTCTGTCCCGTATCTATTTGGCCGCACACTTCCCACACCAGTGCGCGCTGGGAATGGTCATTGGGGTGGCCGTCGCTATGCTGGTCAGCCATTTGGACACCGATTCGGTCACTCGCAAGCAATTCATTTGGGGAACGGTAGGCCTGTTTATGTCGGCCCTATCGACGTATGCCGTACTGAAAATGTTGGGCTTCAACCCGATGTGGTCGGTGGAGAGGGCGCTGAAGTGGTGCGCCAAACGAGAACACGTCCACTTGGATACGACACCATTCTTCTCAATGATGAGGTACACCGGCTTCTTCCTGGGTATGGGTCTCGCCCTTCACTCAAATATGCACCGAATCGGTACCAAAGAGCGCTTCACGACATCGATGAAAGTTTTGGCCGCAATCCTGTCCGTCGGGTTCGCCAAAGCGACCGAATTTGTGCCGATGCCTAAAGATAATGTCAATCTATGCTATGCGATGGCATTCCTCTTGAGTGCAGTACTTCCCTATGTTTTCGTAGCTGTCATTCCCTACTGTTTGACAAAAGTTTTCTATAAGAATGAGAAAACGAAAACTCAATAATTTTTTCATTTATTCATTTTTTGGTGATCATTAATGTATATAATTTAATATTGTATTTATATTTTCTATATGAATCATGTGTAAATAAATCATAAATCAATTCAAATGAACTCAAATAAAACAAAAACTGTTTTAAAAATTAAAGTTGCTGCTTTTTTAATGAATACCATTCAAGGCTTTTAATTTCATTACTAGAATAGTCTGCGAGTGACAAGTGTTTGGATGTGAATATTAAACATGGGATCTCATCATTTTGATACATCTACTGTAGTATAGTAGATAGTATAGAT